CGAAGAAAGTGGAATGTAATAGTGAGATACAGGTACAACAGAAACATTTAGACAACGAGAGTTATGCGAGTAACATGAACACGACTATGGAAGTAGATCCACAGGGGAGACAATCGGATTTATCTGACGGACCTGGGAAACAAAGGGAGAGTTATGTGGTGGAAAATGGAATTCTAAGACATCGTAACGAAGCGGACGCACCACAATTAGCGGCAAGGAAAGTGAGATTCGGGAAGGATCAAAAGGGGCCGGTCAAGGTTAAGGTAATGGTACTTCCGGATAAGGCGCAGATTAAGAGAGGTAGAAATCACTTAATTATTATACAGAAGTTGAAACTATTAAAAATTACATTTAAGGAGGTGCTTATGACCAGCCATATAGCGGCTGAAGTAGAATTCGCTAACGGTCAGGATGCTAACCTATGCCTACAAAGAGTGGAGGAAGCAAAAGAAACTGGAATTATAGCAAGAATCGAAAACAGGGAACTAATAACGAGAGGAGTCATAACCGACTGGCCAGATAATATCCCAGGACTTTGGGAGGCATTAGAGGATAAATCAAAAGTTTGCAGAATGGAGAAAATGTACCGCAGAAGGTGGGACGAGAGAGAGAAAAATTTTAGGGAGGATGACACGGGAAATATAATTATTACTTTCTATGGAAACAAGGTAGTGGAAAAAATGTGGCTCTGGGAACATGAAGTAGCAATAAAAGTTCGTCCATACATTCCTGCACTAAGACAATGTTTTAAGTGTTTCAGATTTGGGCACATAAAGGCCGTATGCAAGAGTGAAGAGAAGTGTATTATATGCGGTGAAAAAGCACATGGCAGGTGTGTGAGTACATTGAAATGCAGAAATTGTAGAGGGCCACATAAATCAACATTTAAGAATTGCCCGGAGGTGATGAGAAACAAAAACATAAATGTTATAATGGCATATCACAATCTGTCGTTTAAAAATGCAGAAAGAATTCTAGAGGGACGAGAGGATAAGAGACCAATAAACGCTTATGATAGGTATGTGGAACCTAAAAATTGGCCAGTATTGACGACAAATAAAAGAGAGGAGAGCTTATCAAACGCAATCCCTTTGTTTAGAGTACCAGCGAATGAGGAGCCGAGAAAGGGTAAAGAGTACAGTCAAGTTCTGCAAGAAGGGGATCGAGAAGATATAGAAGACCCCGCAAGATATGGAGAGAGGGAAAATAGTCCAAGAGAAAAGGCAAGAAACAGAAGCTTTGGACATTATCAACAATTCAACACGCGCGAAGAAGAAATTTCAAGAAATAGATACGGAATAGCTAACGGTTATAGGAGAGGACATAGTACTGAGAGGAAGGAAGGGCAAGGGTGGAGAGGACAGGAAGAAGTTAGAGGAAGAAAAGTTCTATCACAAAATAAGTACGAACTACCAAGCCCGGAGTCATCAGATGAAGAAAATTTGAGGAACCTAGTGGTAAAGTTGGTATACCTTATGGAAAGAGACGAGGAACTAAGAAGGATGCTGTACGCAATCCTGGAAGAGCCGAAAACAATCCAACTTGAATCACAGAGATACAATAGGAAGAGAGAGGAAGAGCAGAGTCTCGAAATAAAACGGAAGAAGGAAAGGGAAGGTGAAGAGGAAAGAGATCGACAAATAAAGATGATAGAACAAAATAAGAGGAACTATTGGCAGTCGAGGAGAGTAGGTGAAACAGAATCTGTTTCCCACGCATCTCCGTAAAATAATGGACACATTCGATTTAAAGATGGTGGTTTGGAACTGTAGAGGTTACTCAGGAAAGAAGAATGAAATCAGGAAATTTATAAGTGACTACGATATAGTAGTACTTACAGAAACTAAATTCTCAAAAGAACAAGGGATATACGCACCAGGTTTTAAGACAATAGCAAAAGCAAGTAGAGGAAAAAGTGGGGGAGTCGCAATTATGTTAAGGTCCCACATAGAATTTGAACTAATCAAAGGCTGGAATCGAGTAAGAGACGAGTTTGACGTAATTGGAATCAGGTTAATAAATACAGAAATAAAATTCAATTTGATTGCGGTTTACCGAAGACCGTACGGAAGAATCTGTAAACGAGAATGGAGGGAGCTGTTAAACTTTGACGTAAGAAATATGGAGACTGTTGTACTAGGCGATTTTAACGCTCACAATAGGACCTGGAACTGTGAAGCTACAGATATCAACGGAGAAAACCTGTATGAAGCTATGTACGATGAGGATCTGATCTGTATGAATCCGGACACTATGTCGAGATTGGGGGAAGTAAACAGTTTATCGTCTAATATTGATCTGGTGTTCTCAACCAATAGGATAGCAAATGAAATGGAATGCGGACAGCTGGATGATACATGGGGATCGGATCATTTCCCCATAGAGGTGAAACTCGAGAAGGGAGTCAGAACATATAGAAAGAGAACGAATAAAATCTCAACCATTAGCACACAATGGGAGGTAGTCAGTAAGTTACTTAGCCAAGACCTAGATGACAAAGAAGAGAGAAAGAAAAGATTAAGGGATAAAACGATAAATCCGGAGAGAAGATATGAAATACTGATAGAGATAATCAAGGA